AAAAAAATTTAAAAAAAAGAAGCAATTTGTCATCTTAGAAGTTTAGACTGGAGAAAATCTACTTTGATCTTTGCCAGAAACTCCTGCTGTTTTCAAGGTTTTCTTATATTCTAGAGCCTACCAAAGCAGGATCAACAGAAATCTTACCAAAAAAGAAGCTCAGTATTTTGCCCATAAGCCAGTGTGTTCCAAGAAATTTACTAAGACCAAAAAAATATTCTTTGTTTGGGATCCAAAGGGTGTCAGAGTGGTCATCCTCTTGGGATGGATAATACAAACGCAAGAAGGTGCCCTGGAGAGGAAAAGAAATCAATGTACTTTTAGTGAAGTTGCTTCTCCATTATGTCCCAACAGCTATTTGGCATATTTAATTAGAGGGGAAACCTCGGTTGTTCACAAGGAGGTCCAGAGAGAACTTTTTAAGCTGCTGTGGTGCCTGAATACAGTAGAAAGAGAAGGAGAAACATGTTTTCTGAGTGAAAAGAAAGCATAAGCAGGCTGGTTTCAACCATTAAGGAAGGGGAAAATAGAGCTTATAGATAAATAAATCAGATGATAGCAACAAATCTGGGAAAGACTTACGTAGCAAAAGGCTTCTCAGGCAACAACATAAATAACAACATGAGTCATTCTCAGGTGAGGGCAAGAGCAAGTTTCAAAACCTTCTAGGGGACCACAGGAACAGTCAATGTCAGAACATAAAGATTAGTGCTATTAATCAAAGCATTACCTTATTACTGTAATCAAACATCAAGTCTGTACAACCGACAGAATAAGAGCCATTTCCTTTGGGAATTTTAGTTTGGCCTAAGCTTGCAGCAGCCATCAGAGCTTGTATTTTATTGACCCATGCTGAAACAAAAGAAAAAGTGAATATTATCTCACTGTCATCCATTACACCCAGACTTTATCATGCAAAAGGAAATTCCAAGGGAATTAAGTTACACCCCTTCGTTTTTGGCCTCCTTCATTTCTTTACCTAACTAGTAAAATATACAAATAATTATTAAAGGCCTGATATAAGCAAAGTATTGTGGGGGAATAAAGATAGAGGTAGACATTTCTTAAGATGCTTAAGACCATCACCTCCTAACACTTACAGCCTTGCCCTTAGCCTCTGCTCTGATCCAGATCATGTTAAAAACTCCTTCCCCCGACTGTTTTTCCCAAACAGGAACCTTATCTCACACTTCAGATTTGGGCTGACAACTTCCCGTTGGGTGCTTCTACCTGCTATCCTTCCCTTTGGAACATCAAGGCCAATGGTCCAAAATAAGATCGCATGGCCATCTCGCAACTCTCCTTCCTCATCCCCCAACCACACAGCCTGCAGCTCCAGCATTTCCTAGCTCGTGTATCCCGAGTCAGAAACCTGGGAATCCTCCTCCTATGTCCTTCTCATCAAACCCCTCCATCCAACGAGTCTCAATTTTAACATTTTGTTTTTAGCCTAAAATTCTCTCTCCAGTATAGCCCTGATCCCCTAATTGTCTATTTACACTTTCAAGGTCTCAGACAGTTGTCATCTCTCCTAACTGTCCTATTCATCTTGGATCTTAACCTTCAAATGCATCCTTCACATTTTACCAGGCTACTCTTCTTAGAATTTATCAATGGCTTCCGATCACTAAGTGGCTATTTCTGAATGAGGAATATATTGGAATCTTTTTGGAAGGCAGTCTGTAGACGGCATTTAAATCTACACGTCTTCCTAAGCTACTTCCGTTGCTACTTGAGGCACAAATGTGGCCTATCCTTCCAATGTTCTGGAGTTGAAATGTGTAGATTTCATAGGGGCATAAGTTACATCCCAAGTTCTTGGGCACTGTAAGAAAGACCCTCAGTGATCTGAAGGTCTACTGCCTTGTACTCTTCTGCTTTTTCTTTACCTGCCTTCCGTGGGCTCCAGCACTCCTGAGCGATACACGGAGGTGTTCGACGCCTCGGCACCTTTATAAATTCTATTCCTTGTGTTTGAAATCCCAGGGGCAAACTCCTGTTCACCCTTTAACATCTTGATCAGATGTCAGGTCTTCTCCGAAGCCTTCCCTCATTCCCCAGACTTGTTTCATTCTCATTATTAAATCAGTTCCCTCTATGTGTTTCTATCATTCTTTTTTTCCTATCGTATTAAAATTATGTGTTTGTACACTCTGCTTCCCACACTAGGCTATTTCTTAAGAGCTGTGTACTTTTGTATCTTCAGATCTTAATGTTGGCACACAGCTGGTGCTCCATAAATCTTTGTGGAAGTAAGCTGAGCTGAGCTTTTCCACGGCTCACCAGGCTCTCATCTGCATCAACCCCTTTATGGTATATATTCTTTTACCCACCCACTCTTGAAACTGTTTCTCCTTCTTTGGTGCCTAAACTCTTCAACACACCTGCAGTTTTGCCTGTTACCCTCCTTTCTGAATCCCAGTTGAATCCGTATTTACTTGGTAAGATGGTGAGTCCAACTATCATTATAGCCAGACTTTCACGTTTCTATTTGTCTTTCCGAGCTTGCCTACTTGATACCGTGCGAGTCGATTTCACTGCTCGACAGACTCCTTCAAGCTTTCCATCGCATTCTGCCTCTGCCACTAAGACACAGGGAGCCGTTTTAGGTATGGAACTTATGTCGATATCATGGGGCATCACCCAGAAATGTTCTGAGGACTGAGAAGAAGCCTGTCTTTCATGTCAGTGACTAATGTGTGAAGCACTTGCCAGTGATGGGCCCTTCAATACATGAGGCTTGCTAGTCAAAGTTGGTCCCTGAATCAGCATCACTGGGAGCTTGGAAATCAGGATCTTCAGCCGTACCCCAATTCTACTAAATCAGAAAGGCTGTGCCTATTCAAGTTTACAAAACGACTAGGCGAAGGTACCAGACCACCTGATCTGCCATTCATAGTCCAATAGTAGGAGCTAGTTCCAAGGAAGGTGGGAGTGAGATGAATGGCCCGGGGTATTAGAGCCAGGTAGTCCTATTTTGGATTCCAGCTGTACCCCTGAGAAGCTATGGCGCTCTGGCCTAGGCAAGTTGCTCCCCTCTCTTATTCTCATTTGTCAAATGGCGGAAAAAGGCACTTGACAACCTGCAGGACAGCTGTGAGAATGAAGTGATGGTAGAAGTCAAGGGCCTAGCACAGAACACATCAGCAGCAGACAACTGACACTGTGTGTCCCTTACCTAGAGGGAGTTAACTCTGGCTACCCAAATTCAAGCCCTCAGAAGAGTTTGAGCAGATGGAAACTAGACCATACTATTTTCCCTTTGGGCAGATTCAAAATCCAAAGTATTTCCTCAGACGTTTAAACAACAACAACAACAACAACAACCCACTTTACCTGTAAAGGCTAACGGTTTCAGTGGTATTTAGAATCACAAAAGGCTCTTTCTTTCCCATTTAAGATTGTCTACCAAGTCAGGCTTCGTGGTGTAACAGGGACATGTTAAGCCCTGCCTTTCCCTCTGTGAGGGGCAGGCTGTGTCCGGCTGTGCCCCCACCCACATCAGCCATGATGTGATGGTAAGGGCATCGAAGGGGAGGGCTACAGCTCATGGAGTTTGGTGAGGAGCGCAGAGAACGCACAGCCCCCTTGGAGGTACTCTACCTCTGGAAATTAGGAGTTCAGTTCTAGAGTAATGGGAGGGTTCCAAGGCCCACAAGGTTTCTCTTGTGAGATCTCAATTCCACCTCGGCTCTGGGAACCTTCTCCAATTACCTAGGAGTGCCCTGGTTCTCTAAATCCTGCTCTACCAAAAAGCCCCCTTGCTCAGCATTCAGGAGCCACAGGTCAAGGTGAGTCTACAGTTCTGCCCATTTGAAGACGGCCCCTCAGGAATCTTGGAGCTAACCCAGGTGTGGGTGTAGGTCTACAGAGCCCTGTGGCTGTTCACTGCCAGGGGGGTACAGAAAAGTTTCATCAGCCTGCAGGTAATCCAGTCACTGTCCCCGGTTTCCTGTTCTCCAATCATCTATCAGGACTCATCATGAAGGGAGAAACGAGGAGTCTTATCAGGTTGAGCGTCCATCCTCTAGATGATACAGTTTGTGGTTCAGAACTCATACATGTCACTCCTTGTTTTTCTTCAACTTTATTTTAATAGGAGCGTTGGAACCTCTGGACTATTTATAGGCTATTAATCTTACATTTTTTGGGGTGTTCATTTGTCAAATATTCCTGATACTCACTCCTGGGTTTCGAGATGGATTGTATACACGCTAGGAACATAACATTTTCTTACACAGCTTTATGTCCTCCATTAACAAAAAGGATATTTCTAGCCCATACTTTACCTGCATAACCATGTTTTCTACATACTCACTTAGTTAGGATATGAACAACCATCTATTATCCTAATCCTTTATTTAACCAAGGATTTCTAACAATTTACAAAATATGTATGCATTCGGTTGCTCAAGACCGAATGGGACACTGGCCTTGACTGTGGGACTACAAAAGATGAAAAATGTAGTGTCCCTGTTCTTAAGTTTCTGCCAGTCCAATGACAGCCTTCCCATGACTTTCAAACATGGGATATAAAACATGTTTTGAAATTCCCACCCTGAGCCAATAAAAAGTGCATGATGTAAACGTCTCCTAGCTGATAATCTGTCCGTCGGGTAAGATGTTACTCGTTTCCAATCCTTGGAAGAGGTAATGGGAAAATTAACTTCACTAGGCTGGAAGGTCCTTGAGCTTGACCACAAGCTCACTGTCTTAGTCACCGGTGTATCAGCGATGACTCAACTTCCTGATAAGTGTTGTTGAATGAATGCACCTGTGAGATATTATGCCATTTCCTGTGTAAATACAGATACAACATATAGTCTGTCCGACCGATGCATTTGCTTTGCCAACTACAAAGCAAGGCAGTATTTATCAGGTGCAGGGTTATGAAAGCCCTTTTGTAAATGTTACAGTAAGGAGTCACCCATCAAACCTGAACAGCTAGATCCAGAGTCACCAGGTCTGTGGCTTCAGAAGCCACCTACACTGCTCACCTGAGGAGAAGCTGGACAGAGAAGACCGTGCATCACCATGCTCTGGGATTCGCAGGAACCCACAAAACTCCGGAAGCAATCTCTTTGCAATACAGGTCCTTCTTGGTGATGGCAGATGTACCTTTCTAGAGGTGGCTGTCCCACTCTGGCCACCTCTTCTGGGCCTGACTAAACCTTCCCCTCCTCCCCTTCCCTCCCACCACAAGGTAAGAGAGAGCAAGAGATGTGCATCCATTCTCCCCTGGAGCTCTTCAGCTGGTCCCTGCTTCCCCTTGTGATAACATAGAAAACATGGTTTCCCTCTGGACCCCAAGAGCCTAAATGGTTGTCTTCTCACATCACCACCCCCCCCCCCAGTACTAACCAGGACTACACCTGTTGATCAAGACACCTGCCTCTCCTTGACCTTCATGGGAGCAGGTTTTGAGGTTGCCTCTGAGAGAACTCCAGGGGCTTTGTGTCACTGCGCCTGAGTGAGAGCGGGCTAGGGCAGTGAGGGACAGAAGGGGCCACGTTGAGGAAGTTCTCCACAGTGGTTGCCAGCTGAGCTTCCAGTCTGTCTGAAAATGCCTCATCTTGGTTCTGTCCTGCAGTCATGATATTGAAGAAGACAGGCGCTTCTTCAGTTTCAGTTGCAATGAGGAGAAAGCGAGGCTCTCTCCCCAACCCCAGGAGAACAGGTCTCCATGAGCCTTTTTGTAATAGAACTTGGTTAGAAGTCCACACATGCAACTTCTCCGGGGCCACGTGGAATCTGGCCACAGATCAGTTGCTCAAGCCCTGGAACAAAGATGCCTCTTACCTGATGATCTAATATGGGCAACAGGATTTAGGTCTTGCCAGTCAAAAGGATGAACCAGTGCGAGGCTGCTGCAGAGGCAGAAAAGCGCATGCAATTTGGATGGCAACATCTTGGTAGCTGAGGAGTGGTTTCAGCTTAACCTTCTTCAAGGCAGGTTATTAAAAGAAAAAAAAAAAACACATGCAATCAAGAGGACTTAAATAGGCTGACAAATCAGGGAGATTAAGGCACTAGCAACATGATTTTACATACAATTATGGGAAGAAACCACCTGGAAAAAAACGGAATATGCATTTTCTGGGCCGGGTTTTTGAATGGCATCAAGGTGGCCAAATCCTTGGGAATGCCGGATCATATCATAGCGCGTAGAAATAACACGTTGAGGCAGTCATATTAGGTTTCTGGTCACTAATTCTCTAACTCTGTAGCAGTCTAGTTTGGTTATAAAGAATAGCATCAAAATAGAATAATTGTAGCAATCACAGATGGCAGTCAATAATGTCCACACACATGTCTAGCACATTCGTAAACGCTCCGGGAGTTCTGGCTAATGTTTCCGTCACAATTATAAAGTCATATTGCTGCAGAAATGATGTTTCATTTTTGGTGATCTCTATGCCTCTTCTACACTGAAACCTTCCCGGAGGCAGCGAGGTCAGGCCTTATGTATTCTTCCCACTGCCTACCAGGGGCCTGGCATGCCGTGGGTGTTGCATAAATGTTTACAGAATTTGTGAAGGAATGATTGTAGTCCAACATGTGGTATATTAGACTCATGATAATAACAAATGATATTACAACTGGGCGCTATGCTAACATCTTATTAGCAAAAGCCTATCTTGTAGTTGTGCATCATCTTTACCTTCTAGAACTTCTCCCTTCATAAAACTGAATTGTTTCTTCACTGGTAATAACTTGCTAACAGACTTTTGTTTTCAGATGTATTTCTATGCTTGAATACATGCATAGAATACATACATAGCTATAAATACACACATATAAATATCAATATGTAAAACTATACTCTTAAAATTTATTTGCAGAACTTCATTTCAAGTTACCCTTTTATTTATTTATTTTAACGTTTATTTAGTTTTGAGAGAGAGAGAGAGACAGAGCATGAGCAGGGGAGGGGCAGAGAGAGAGGGAGACCCAGAATCCAAAGCAGGCTCCAGGCTCTGAGGTGTCAGTACAGAGCCCGATGCGGGGCTCGAACTCACAAGCTGTGAAATTATGACTTGAACCGAAGCCAGACGCTTAACAGACTGGGCCACTCAGGTGACCCTCAAGTTACACTTTTAATTTGATAATATGGTTAGAGTCTTTTCATATGAGTATACGGCACTATAGTTTGTCTTTTTATGTAAAATGGCACTTAGGAGTTCCTCATAAAAGCTTGTTCACTAAACAAATGACAATATTGCCAACATTTGAAGGCTTATTATGCACCCAGCATTTTTCATAGTTTCTGGCATGTGTTTTCTTATTCAGTTGGCCCTAAAACAATCTGTGAGGGAGATTTAATCATCCCC